TTTTTTTCTCCTCTCTTTGTAGTTTTTCTTTTCTCTCCTTCTTTGTCTGTTTCTCTGTTGTTCGAGTACGATTTGGACTTAGCTGAGTTAGAAAGTTTTGATTCAAACAGGGAACAAAATGCAGCATTGTTCAAAGCCAGAAACCACCTTAGTTTGCATCTTACCTGCCCAATTCCTGGTCCTGGTACAAATTCAAGTGTAGATTAAAGTGATTTCATCGCTACCAAATATGACTACGTTCCTGCTGCGCTAAGAACTGTGTACTGAGAAGCCGTATATGTACATATGTAGACTTTCTGTAATGTGACTGATCACTGCAGCATATGTAAGACTGAATCGTATTAGTACAAGTTGTACAAGAGACACGCGAGCAAAGTAAGATCAGTTTTTGATATTTATTGCAACGCAGCACAATTCATCCTTGACTTTTAATCAGTCACTACATGCAGCTATTATTCTCATCATGTATGTAAAGGAGCAGTTAATGCGAGCGAGTGTGTATGTGCGTTTGCAGACAGCTGCAGTATCACTCAGGGGTCTTGAAGCTGACAGTGGCCTGACACATTTACCCTCCGACCCCCCAAGTCTTTTCCGTCATTGTCCTTTCCGTCCTTTCTTTCATCCTCTCGTCGTACGGTGTGCGCGCTCTCCTCCTGCTTCCTCTCTCACCTCTGCGTTCAGCTTTTTCCACATTTACTTCACATCAAAAACCTTTTTTTTTTTTCCCCCCTCTCACCTTGTTCCTGAAACGCTTTGCTGGAATGAACTAGGAACACACAGCCGCACACACTGACTGATAATATTCTAGTCAGGTGGCTGGTATTTGCCTGATAGCTGTCCCCCGATCACACTGCAGGCTTACGTTTGATTTTTTATCCTCCTGTGAAATGTGAAACATCAACATTAATGAATATGACCTGACATTTTACACAACTCCTAGTTTGTATGTGTCAATTTGAGAGTGATTATTAAATATATTTCTTACGCAGCTGCTCAGTTTTGTTTGTAAATGTGTTTGACCAGACTGATCAACTTGTCTGTTAATGCCTCGACTAAAATCTTGTTTACAGTCTATCACAGAAGTAAAACAGGCCTGTATTTTTTTTTAGCTGTGGTTAAATAAAACAAAACACATTTTCCCTGAGATTTGCATGGGAAAAACTACCTGATTGTGCTTCTAATGCGTTAGATAAAAACCTTTTTCATGCTCCACTATGAGCAGAAGATGAGTAAGATGCCGCCAAGTGCAGCGATAAATGGTTTAAATACTGGGTGGGGTTTTAGATAGTTTTTTTTTTCCATGGGTGATGCTCTGCATATAGATACTGTGCATACGTCCACATTAATGAATAACAGGGGCATCGATCTGTGTTTCCCTTGTTTTGTTCAAAGAGACAAGAATTGAATAGCCATGCAGCTCAGTTTTATTTTTATTTTTATTTTGGGTAAGGTGAACAAGTCATTTCTGTGATCTGAATGTGATAGAAAGTCCGTTTTGTCTTTGATTTGGCTCCCCCCCTCTGCCCTCCTTCCTTTGCTTCTCATCTCAGTTTTCTTAGATGTGTTGTGTTCTTTTTACATGAGTAAATATAAAGTACATTTTCCTCAGTTATTTAGTATTAAAAAACTATAAGTGCCTGATTTACAGAATCAATGCTGCTTGTATTCTGGTGTTACAGGGTTGTGACAGTGAGCACATGATGTCATGTAGTGAAACAGTGGATTGAATTGCACGGGGCACTTTTAAATTATATGCTAATAATAGTCATCGAAGTCATAATTTCACTGAATGGGTGGATTAGCGATCAGCCGATGGCACTGTTACACATTCAGTTTGTTTAGTTCATCTCTGCTACCGACTCTAAGAAAGCTTTAAATGTTGGTTTAACGTCTCTGTTGCTTTCTCCAGACAGGACAGAGAGAGTGCAGAACGGGCTCACGACGAGGAAATGGCGTCTGCGACCCTTTCAGCGCGGGAAAGAGAGCGAGAGCTGAGTGTGATGCTGCAGCAAACGGAGGCTCGACACCTGCAAAGAGGTCAGTGCTTCAATCCACAGCGGCGGCAGGAAGCGCTGCTGACTTGGGACACAACTCACTATGTTTTCATTCCACTTCTCTGACTTGATCGAATATATATCCCATGTAGCTTATATCAAAGCTTTTCTTTCTGCTCGGTACACATTGTTCTCACCACAGAACCACCAACGATTTAGACCCTCGTGTGCTCAAAACCTCATACCGATCACCACTGGATGGAGCTGCATCACGTTTTGGGTTACGCCACAGCTCTGTGTGACAGTTTAAATGTCCTCTACTCATCTTCACACAGTCTTCAGACATGTGCAATATATTTTGTACATTTTCAGCTTTTATTAGACAGACAGTGAAGAGAGACAAAGTTAAGAGCTGTTTGGGATTCGAACCAGAGTCTCTGCTGATGGAATCTGCATCAGCATGCTGTATACACGCCCAGCTCAGTCGGCTGTCACGTCACCCTATGCAGTCATTCTTTAAACAGCCATGTTTTGTTTCTAGTTTGTCCCCCCACAGTTTTATTGTTGTAAAGTGTTAAATACACATTTGAGGCTTATTTATAATAATTCTGGTATTTTATTGTTTCATCATGTTTTGGGATATAAATGATTTAATAGGACCAAAAATGTTTGGAATCTGTCTAATACTGACCAAGAGTTCTATATGTGGCACCTCAAAAGTAGATGTTTTTGCCATCGACAGTCTCGACAGTTATTATAGGAGTCTAAGAACCTCATGGATATGGTTCCTATAGAAACAGACATGTGTCAAATATGTAATCTGAAGTATGAGCTGTCCAGGTAAGAGTGGAGTAATGTTACAGAGTTGAATTGCAGAAAGTTTAGTTTGCTGTTCTGTGAAACCTCTAAAAACAAATCATGGTTTGTGGTTTCAATCAACCTTTACTTTAACTCGGAATACACTAACGTCTGGAGGTGTCATTTACAATATAGCTGGATAAGAAAATACACAAGATACACAACCCTGGATAAGAGTTATGATGAAATTATTAAAAAGAATTGAATTGGTAAGATAATTTAAAGTTAAAACCAATAAATCAACTAAAACAGACGCTGACGTTGTGGCTAGAAATGGACGAAAGTGAATTGTGTGCAGATTGTCGTGTTTGCAGCGAACATTTTGACCAGGATGACCACAGCGGGTCAGAAGAAATCTTGCATCGAAGCACCTTTAATAAGAAAAAGCTCATCCAAGATCGGAGAGACCTGCTGCAGACACAGTTGAGGAAACGTTATCAGTTAAAGTATGGCAGCATAATGGCAAAAACGATCATGCATGAAGCCAGTCGTATGCACAAATGCCCTGTGGGATTACATTGCAGACATTTGGGAGTTGCCAGTTATAGCGTTCTCAATATTGAACCAATTCCAAACATTTTTGTCCCTATTAATCATTTACACCCAAAAATATGGAAAATAGGGCCCAGATTTTAAAATAATAGAATCATCCTTTAATTACTATAAGCAGCATGCTGTCTTATCCTTATTACTTAATTGTAATTTTCGTCCTTCTGCTATAGACTTCAGAGGAGAAGAAAAAACAAGACAAAGTCAGTAACTAATGAACTGTGTCAGTAAATACGACATTTACATCAGCTGACACATCGGCTTCATGGATGCAGGTGGGCGTTGGGAGTCCGTCTTCCCAAAAGGCTGCATTAAAGGTTTTCAGTTTCAGAGCTACACAAACACACACACAGACACAGTGGAGAACATCTCTACATGGCTACACAGCAGTGTGTTCTCAAATTTGCAATGCCTCTAAGTTTACTGTCGGCCCCTGCAGCACACAGGCCTGTTAGTTCTTACACAGAGGAGAGGCTGGTGTGAGCAGGGCGGAAACACAGCGGAACTAAATAGGACGGAGCAATTAGAGTCAAAATATCCAGAACTGCGTGGAGTAAAACAGCAGAGTTGACCAGGGTCAGCTACAGATTCACCGCCACTGAGCTGGGAGGGTTTGATTCTCTTCCTCAAGGATACTTCAGCAGGACGCATCTTTGCTGGAACGAGGTCTTGAACCTGCATCTTCCCGGTTGAAGGATGTTTGTTTGCTTCTAGCTGTGCCCCCATCGCACCCACCATCACAACATGGACAGGAACACGACTTATCATCAGCTGAACAAGACTGATCTGAAGTGACCTCAAAAGAACAGACGAGAAAAAAAACAACAACAGAAAAAAAAGAAAAACAAGCAAAGCAGAAGCCTTAAGAGGAGAATAGCAGGGCAGAGCAGAGGGAAGGTGATGGGAGCAGAGCAGAGAGCCCCAGCTCAGAGCTCCCTGTCTGTCTGCACAGCAGAGCTGCTGCTGCTAGCACATCTGTTGCACCATCTGGATCTCCCCCCCACCCTCACACCCGCCACCGCTCGCCCTCCCTCCCCGCTCCTATCTTTTTATTTACCTGTGGTTCCCTTCAACAACTAGGGAGCCTGCTGGTACGCAGAACAAAGATGGAGGGTATAGAGGGAGGAATGGATGGAGGGAGGGATGGGGGGGGGTAAACAAAGGGTTTCTTTCTGGCGCGTGTCGGCAGCACACATGTTGTCTAAAGAGAGCTGACATCAGAGCACAGCAGGAAACTGTGGATGGGGAGGGGATAGAGGGGTGGACGTCCTTTAGTAACTCGCATCACTTCCTCTCCCCGTGCAACCCAACAGACGAGCTGGATAATTAGCTTTCTTGCTCTCCAAATCCCGCCTCTCTGTCCATCCGTTTGTCCTTCCATCCATCCGTCCCCCCCTCTCCCTTCTTCTCCGCTCCCCTCCCACCTTTTTTCTGAAATTTTTTTTTTCATGTTTCTTTTTTGAGTAAATGTGTACAGAGCAGCCTCTAGATGATATCAGATATTTGTTTCTCTCCGTCCCTCCCTCCCTGCCACGCTTCTTCCCTCCATCCCTCCCTCCCTCATTTTTCCTCTGTTTGTTTCCAGTGCCAGTTCTGCTGTGTTTCTGTGTCCCAGGGTTCTTTTTGGCCTACGCATGGCCAGACGCATTCAAAGCCTGTTCAGCTAATTAGCATTCTTCATACAACTTTTCCAGCACTGACCAAACTTTGTTGAGTGTACGTGTGTGTGCACGGCTGTGAGTTTGTGTAGTTTAGTTTAATAGTTTAATGCTCTGTAGCATCCAATTTCGGCTCTCTGTGCATTGTTTGTGGCAGCGATTTTGAAGACAGAGACTGTATACAGTGGAACAAAAAAAAGTTAGACACAATCAGTGGGTGTAGCGCTCATGATCCGAAGCATCCGTTTTTACACCTCTCCACTTAGAGTGTCCTATTTTAATAGCAATTAATGACACATATATAAAGAAGAAGAGAGAAATACCTCGAGTGTCAAGTCAGATTTCAGCCTGCAGGTATGTACCTTATAGGCAGAGACATCTTACCTTATTTTTTTAAACTATCTCTTTCTTCTTTCCACAATATCTACTGTATGCAAAAAAAAAAGTCTGAGCTACTTTTCAAAGACTGCTAGTCCTTGGTGTTTTTGGTTTTGGTTGACTGTAACAGAATGCCGGAGCAGGTGGATCATTCCCTCAATCCAAACGGCAGCCATTGTTATTTTAAAAGAGCAGACATATGTTGGAGAGCGGAACGTGGACCATTTCAAAGGCACGATGAAAGCCCAGTGTTGGATTGTTCAGAAAGAGGCCCCCATGAGCGGATGAGGACGTGGCAGGAAGGGTGGAAAGGAGAAAGAAAGCGCTTTCAAACAACAATCCGCTCTCTTTCTGCACCTCCTTTTACCCTTCTCACACACTTTTTTTTTTAAAATTTCCATTTTCTCTGCTCTCTGTACGGCTGTTTTTCTGTTGTTTGAGCAGTTTATATTTAAACGTGAATGTTGACAAAAGCATATTTTGGAATCGTTCAAAGAGACATATGTATTTCGCCACTGCTGCAGTATTTGTTACAGTAGGTTTGGTTTTTCTGCTCTGTCTGTGAGGTAGATGATGCCCTCTGATGAGGAGAAATCTGGTTTCCTGTGAGCTCTCAGAAGCAGCTATGATGCTCTCTCTGCATCTCTAAGAAAGCACTCATTTTAAACTTTTGCTTCTTCCCACTAATGCAGCATCAGGCACTGAAACTGAAAACACATCCTATTTTTTTCTTCTTAAATTGCAACTTTAATTACCTAAACACAATTAAGATTAAATTCTGGATCGATTCTGAAACCTGTCATTTTATTTTGTAATTACATTAAAAAATTAAATCAAATTCAGACACACAGTCTGAAGTCTACACAGAAACAAAGTGATAGATTTAACCGCAGACGTGAACAACTTCCTTGGATCTGTGAATCTGAATCATGCCAAGCAAACAGTTTTTTTTTTTCCTTTTTCAAAATGTGTAGATCACAAAGAATCACTCCGCTCTTAGCCACAACTTTTACAATCACATTTTGTTGGAGAATTCTGGCACATCATTACAGTCCTGCAGTGTCCTGCAACTACTTCCCAGCTACCCACCCACCATTATTTTCTGTCCCTTTACTTTACACACTAGTTTTTCTTGCTCTTTGTAAATCTCCTCTGCAGTGCACGCACATGTACACGGGCCAGTAAGGCTGTTACTGGAGCACCGAGGAGTTTAATCTTCTCACCTTTTTGCCTTTATCTTATTTTAAACCTTTATTGTTTTACAGTATGCTTGAGCTACTGTACCTTGACAAGCAGCCGTTGTTTTTATACAGTATTAAAACCTCTACTAATTGGATCATGCTAACTATGCTAGGACAATTAATGGATTTCAAAATAAAATAACAATATGAAGCAATGCTGCTGGCAAATTTAAATGGCGGAATAAAGCTTTCAGAGATCATTTATGCTGCCCATTAATCAGTATGTGGTTTGACTGACATAAACCTGAAGTCTTGTACATTTTGCAGCACATCTGACCCAACGTTTAACCTGTCACATCTGTGGTTTTACAAATTCATGCCATCCTCGCTTTTGATTGTATTATTTGGTTACGTTCCATCACATGTTTTAAATCTATTACAATATCAAGAGGAAGCAGGACTTTTAGAAATATTTTATCGCAAATCAGTTCCTATTTTCTGTCAGGAAATTGCAGTTACACATAATGTTTATCATGACATCTTAATTTGTTGTTTGTCGGGTTCTTTTAGGATTTGAACCGATGGAGTTTCATTACATTAAACTTATCAGCTACCACAGATTCAGAGCAAGTTTCAGTTTAGTAAGAGTAAATTACCTATGTTTAGGTAGCATGTTAGAACTATTTAGTTTACTTTGGGTCGGATTGATGATTTATTTTGGACAGATTTGGACAAACACCTCATGCTATAGATACCTGCTGTATGCATTTTACAGCAGTTGGTGTCTATAAACTGGACACAGATAAGCTGTCCGTTTCCTGCTGTAACTTACAATGACCAAGGAGAGGTGGTGGCATCATGTGACAGCAGCCCCTCGAGGCTTTTTGGGTTTAATTACATCTGAACTTTGGTGAAGTCGCAGAGGCTGAAAAGTGTCTACGTGAAGTGAAATCCTTCTCTGACCCTCCACAGGATCAGCCACTTAAAGAGGGTAATATCACCTGTGCTGATTCACCTCAGAGTGACTGTCAACCTTTCCATGATTGATTTATTGCAGTTGGAGAGTTGGATGGTCTCCTGAGTTCCCAGAATTCCCTGATCAGGAAGCTAAAGGACGAGTGCTGCAAACTCGGGGCCAAACTGGAAGATCTGACAGAAAACAGCAGGTCAGTATTTCCCTCTTTCATTCTTTAATTTCTTCTTTTTTTTTTTCGGTCATTCACTCAGTAGTGCCCACATTTAGTTTCACCCGTCCGTTGTTTGCCTCCTAACACAGTCGCTCGCATCTTGGCTTATTCATTCGTCTTTTATATCATGAAAACAGTTGTTGGTGCTCTCGCTCTGTTGTTTATTCCCTCTATCTGCTGGACACCCGTGTCATCATTTCACGAAGCATCATCCATCCAGGCTGTTTGGACAGAGCATGTCAACATACTACATACTGCTTTCCAGTCTGACCTGTTTTCTTGTTAACCTGATGCTACAGTAGTCACAGCAGGCCTGCCCAGCTCTCCATCTGGGCTGCCTGTGTGTGTGTGTGTGTGTGTGTGTGTGTTTCTGTGTGCGCTTGTGTGCTCGAGTGTGTGTTTGTGTGTGTGTATGAGAGTGACCCTGGGCCCAGTGTCCTGTCAGCTGTTGGAGCTGTGCTGCACATTAGTCACATGACAGCCCCCAATCTGGCCCTGCCAGACCGCACTGGCCTCACCAGCTACGGGACACGTGCACACAACGCACACACCACGGCGCCCTGTGTGTTTTGTTATGGAAGGACATGAAGTACCCTCATACGTACGCAGTAGTGATGTGTTTTTTATGGGTAGGAGTTCGACACACTGGCCGGAGGGGTCAAACCCTACATCTGCTGTATGTGTGTGTTATGTGCTTTAGCAGCAGTGTGGTGTTGGTGTGTTTGCGCCTCGGGCTGTTGGAGCTCCTGGAGTCCAAGCCCAGTGTAGCGGTTAAAGTCCTGCTGGACGGCCTCAGTCGGGCTAAGTGAGGTTACACTGAGACAGGAGCCGCAAGATGAATTAGAAAACTGATGAATTGTTTTCCGGAGTTTGTCTTGCTGGCTTTGTGTGTCGTTGAAGGTGCACTTCTGTTGATTAGCCAGTGTGGTGTGAGACACCGGGACTCCAGTGGAATACGTAACTACAGTGTCTGCACAGAGACCTTGGTTGCAGGTTGCCTCCTTTCTCTACCTGCATCTCTCTCTATGTTTCGACTGTTGCTGTCACATAAAGGCAGAATGCTGAAATACAACAAAGTCCTTCACCCTGTCTGCTCCAAGGACGCTGTAGTCGGGCTGACCCTGGCTTCATATCCAGCTGGGATACACGAAAAGATGATTTCTACTTGCTGGATCAATAAAGGATATAAGCTAAATGAATAATGTGCATTTTAAAAAGCTTTGTAGGAAAACAGATTGGTCCGACAACAGTGGATTTCTAAGCTATGTCTAAACCTTTAACAGCAAAGATGTCTGCTTTTATTAATCTGATAATAACTTTTGCTGTATAGCGAATGAGGAGCAATGAAGAGCCTTTAAGACAGGAGTAACATCTTCTCTATGTTTTGCCGACTAGAAATATAGGCATGAATAAGTGTTTCTGTTTTCCTTAGATGTCAGTTCAGATGCAAGTTGACCTTTTCCAAAATGCAATACAATTAATCAATTAGATATTTAGGAAAATGTCCAAACAAACATTACTGTGTATGTGAACAGGTCATCTTACATCTGCAGATTGTTAAATATTTAAGATTTGTGGAGACCAAGTTTGCTTTAATGTTGCGTCCCAGTTGTCTTTTATTGTGAAGTTATCTATAGAGTTGTTACATACATGTGTTTTACGTTGCTATTCTTAAGGTGCTTTTTTGTGTTTAGTATTTATTTTGTTAGAAAGTTTTATGGTACACCGGTGAGGCGTAATTTCCACGACAGCATCTGTGTGTTTGTGTGCAGAAGTGAGCTGGAACAGCTGGCGTTGGAGAAGCATCACTTGGAGGAGACCGTGAAGAGTCTGAGAGCTCGTTGCTCCAACATGGAGGAACAGTGTGTCCAGCACGGCCGCATGCACCAACGCATGAAGGACAGGTGTGCAAACACACAAAACACACACATCCACACACACTGCACGTACACCAGAGGGCAGGACATTGTCTGATGTCACCTTGTCGAGGCGTTTTTATGTTGTTGACTAGCAACAAACACACCTGACGTACATCGAATCAATCTCGACATCAAAGACTTTCTACTATTAAAATAACAGCAGCCTCAGTGCAGTTTGTGCTCTCAAAGTGCTTTTTGAATGTTAATTTCTTCCCATTCGTGGAAGGTGGCAGCAAACTTTCCAAAAAAAAAGAAGAAAAAAAGCTCAGTTTTCTTCACACTCTGTCCCCAGCCAGTCAATGTTCTGCACATCTGATGTTTATTTTACATAAGAGTTGTGTTCGTTTTTGTTGACACAGTGGTTTTTGTGTCAGCAGTTTGCTCTCCTGCTGTCTGTATGGAGGCAACATTTTATAATTCAGCAGGCAGCACATACACAATGTTCTCTGATCAAAAACTTTAGTTTTTACATAATGGACTGGATTTAAAAAGCAGGTATGGACTCCCATGAATCACCAGTGGTGGTTCTCTGCATTCATGTGCAAAGATTTATATACACGGCAGAAAAAAGAGCAACGTCTTAAAATTAGGATGCAACATTTTTCAGATTTATCATTTATAGTTCTACCTCTGTGACCAAAACAAATGAAGACAAAGTTAACAAATAGGTACTTTATGAGAAGTTGTGTGGTTCAGTGGCGACTAAAATGTAAAATACTGTCCAGTGTTGCAAAATGAGTTCAGCTAACATTCACTCTTTGGCTTTTCCCTGCAGACCAGAGATTAGATTTTACTATAATAAAGAGACTTCAGATATTTATGAATCATCACTTTGCAGCATCACTGACAGGCGTAGTGTCATGTAACGGTCATTTCAAACTAAAAGCGCTGCATCGAATATTTAGTTAAGAGAAAAAAATCCAACTATTTTAATACAAGGATGTTTTTTTTAAGTTAAAATGCCCAGAAGTCACTGGTTTGAGCTTGTTAAGCGTCAGTATGTGGGTTTTTTTTTGTTTTTGTTTTTCGAATAAAAGCGGCTTATGCTACAGTATCTGTATGTGTGTGTGTGTGTGTGTGTGTGTGTGTTGCGAGGGTCTCTTCCTCCCGAGTGTGGAGCCCAGTTGGTGTGTGTCTCGACGGGGCGCCTGGCACACCGCCTGCCTCTGCCAATGTGGGCGAGGGTGTGTGGGTGTTGTTGCCCCACTCTGCAGGATCTCTACCCCGTTGCCCCCCACACCCCACACACACACACACACACACCCCAACTCCACTTTCCTCTTCCACTCAACCTCACACACACTCCCGCTCACCCCTTTCTCCTGCTCCATCCATGACACTACATATTGTCTACCACCCACCGGTGTTAACCTGTCGGCAGTCAGACGCTGCCAGAAAACAAAGTTTACCAAGTCACAGCTGTCTCCTGGCTGTGTGCGTGACTCTTTTTGTGTGTTTCATAGAAAGTAAAACAATATAAGTTGTCATGGAGTGTGAAGTATGAATATTCTGTATGTTTCCGCGCATATGTTACGATGGTATTTTTATGTGTGTGTGTGTGTGTGTGTGTATGTAAGTAGCTATTGCATGTTCTCAGGAGGTTTAGCAGAGTAGGAATCTGGCTGCCAAAAGTGGATTGGCTGGGAAGTTGGCACCTAACTTCTCTCTTTTCCCAACTGAACCACGATAATCACTCTTGGCATTTACCGAGTTTTATTTTCTGCTTTGACACTTAGTTTGTTGATGAATCCTCCTGATATTTAAAAATCTCCCGAGTCCGGTTCTACAAGAGGTCACTCCAGGAGCGACTGTTAAGCCGCTTGACCACATTTTTTGTGTGTTTGTTCCGCTGTTGGTGGAAGGTGTGTATGTTTGAGGATGCGTTTATTCCGTTTGAGCAGTAAATACATGCATTTTTGGCATTTGCGCGTCTCTTTTTTTTTTTTAGGGATTTGCTGTAAGGTGGTTAAATACGGAGAAGAGGGAGAGATATGAGTCATATTTATGATACACATTGCAGCTGGTACTTGGTGTGTTTTTTTTTTTGGTATGTGATTGTATTTCTGGTGCTGATAGTACTCTGAGGGCAAAACGAGAAAACTTAAAAACCTGGCGCTGATATATTCGAATCATCTGCTGTACTCTTAAACAAAAAAAAAATAAAGATCGTTGAAGTCATGGGCTGAAGTTTGTAATGTTTTCGAGGCAGGCGTGAACTTTTCAGATGCCTGTTTTGTTTGCGTGCGTATTCATATATAAGCCAGTGCGTCATATGGTGCTTTTCTTGTACCGAATAACACGCGTGTTCTCGTAATCCTCGCCGCGTGTCTGTGTGTGTGTGTGTGTGTGTGTGTCCATACATTGGCTATATGTTAGTTGGTCCCCGCAGGCCCTGAGCGCTCCGTGGGCGCCCTGCCGCGCCGCTCGGGGGTTAAGGTGTATGTGTTAACAAGCTGGTGCAAGTGGGTTCAATATCCAGCGCCCCGCCCCTCCCCACAGCCTCTCCATCGGCCTGCAATCTGTGCTGCGAAGAGCGGCAACAGCGCACCACGCACAAAACATTTGGAAAATCAGCTTGATTTATTTTTACATGGGCAAGCTGATTGCCAAACTACACAGGGGTTTTAGCACACAATGTTTTTGCTGCACCACTTAATTATTTATTTCACTATTTCTGTGTTGTTGCTTTTTGTTTTTTTTTTCTTTTCCCTTTTTTCTTGCTTGCTTGGAAATGAAGGGATGGAACGGGAGGGTGGAGAGATGGAGTGGGACAGCAGCGAGTTAGAGGAGATGCAAAGACAGCGACTGTAAATGATTGATTTAAAGGCTGTATGTCGTTTTTTTTTATATATAATTTTGATTTAAGAAGCTATACTTTACATTTAATTGAATAGATCCAACAAATGTTTTACACAAGCGAGCACAACTGGTAATGTTTGTAGCACAGATTTTATTTTATCTCTTCAATCCATCTGCAACTTTTCTTTTCCAGGATCATCGTTTTTTAGTTATGATGTAATTTTTAGATGCGTTTATAATGTTTATTCTTTATTACCTTGATAAAAGAGTGTTTCTCAGTGAGGTTTAGTAATTATTTGTCATAAACAAGCAGTCTACAGAAATTACAGATGCAAAAAGAACAAAGTGCAGGTATTTTAGAAATAATTTCACTTGAACGGCAGAACTAACAATTTGTTTTTGGTATTTTTAGATGAATTTGGCTGCTCGTCGTCGTCGTGTGATTTGTTTAAGTAACGTCTCCATAAATTCTGACAAAAGCAAAAATCTTGGCGCAAATTAATTTAGAGAGAAAGATGTAGGCTCTTAGTGAGAACGTTACGGCTCTGAACGGCGATATTAAAATGACAAGCGCCACTAAAGCGAGACACGGAGGATTCTTTATTCTGAGGATGCAACTTTTACAAAATAAGAGTTATTTGTAATTTAGTGTGTAAATAAACTAATTTACGTCTGTGAAAATGGGGATTCAGAGTTTTTGTTTTGCTGACAGATTGACGGTGGGGAGAAATCTGAAAAATGCAGAAAGAGAAAAGTTCGCCGTGACTTCTCCGCTGGTTTTCACGCTCGAGATTTGCATCCACTCTGTCTCAGCTGTGACTGTCCTCGCCTCTGCCCTCTGTTTTTCTTCTTCTTCTTCTCCTCTTCATCTCTTTTCACTTTCCTCTTTGCTCTTCTCTCATGCTCCAACTTTACTCCTCTCCTCTCGTCTCCTCCTCCCCTCTGCTTTTCCGTACTAAACACCACGCAACCTTTTCTCACCCCACAGCTGTTCGCAGGCTGTTTCACCAATTATCACTACGCATGTACACACTTAGGTCACATACACAGACTCACACACAAACACACACACACACACGTACGACAGACCGACATAACACCAACACTTGCTTAACCACACATAGTGACAGCAGAGTGTGTTTGTCGGGCCCTGGTGTGTGTGTGTGCACGTCCTGCATAGGTGCGTGAGTGTTTATGTGAGCAGGCGGCTCACTGTGCAGCCCTTTAAGGGGAGCAGCAACGTATACGCAGATGTGTCTGTAGATCCACAGGCTTCACTGGGCCATATGGCCTCCACGAAGAAAGATGGTGCGTGCGTCTGGAGGAGAGCAGGGGAGGGAGGGGAGGGATGGAGCGAAGGATGGAGGAGGGATGGAGGGCCATGTGTGGCAAGAGCTGTGCAAGCAGTTGTTGAAGTATGTACGCCTGTGGATGTGTGTGTGTGTTTGTACCAGAGGCTCCAGGAGATCGGTTAATGGAACAAATGGTCGCGGCGGGCCGGGGAAGAAGGAACAGGCTTGCTGCTACCGCGGGCGGACAGCGAGCCTCGGGCGAGGGCTGCTTCATCTGGGCCTCTGCCACACAGGCACACACACACACACACACACACACACACACCCTCTGTCAAAACCCTCGTCATCCCCCCGCTCACAAACACTCAGTGCGCTGCCATGCCCCAGAAGCAAAAGGACGATCCTCGCAAAAACTTTTCATTTGCAAATGAAGTTGGCAGAGGCTGGGCAGAAGAAAACAGGGCCGCTTTCATTTGTCTCATCTGTGTGTGTGAGTGTGCGCACACACACACACACACACATACACACACACACACACACACACAGGGGTATGTTTGTGTGCATCTGTGTGTGATAACTTGCAACTGTGTGTGTGATCTGAGAGGTAGCGGCAAACGATGATGAAAGAGTGAGATGTGGAGATAAAGACAAAGAAGAAGAAGGCCCATTGTGAGGTGCAGCGTTTGCACACTTCCACTCACCAGCGCTCGGCTTCATGCTCATGTTCCACAGACTGCTAATATTAACATCACTGCTGTCACCTCACTAATGCAGTTTTACTGATCACATGTACAGCCTTTTTTCTCCTTCACACGTTTTCAAAAGTATTATTTTTCGCATAACAGCAGCCCCTCCACTCTATCATGTTTTCCATAGGAGTAAAGTTGGGCGTGG